TGCAGATGAGCATTTTTCCATAGTTTCGCGCGCGTGGACCTCAGATCGCATGATTGGAAATGTGCTTAAACACAGCAGCCCGTACGGGCGCCGTAACCATGTTTTCGTAACATGCCTTGCTGTCCCACAAGCCCCTCCTCCTTACATATAGAGCTCTCGGAAACGCAAGTTGTGTTGTCACTACGCAGACACTCCTACGTAGTTCTTGTTTGGCTTCTGATGCTGTTTTATGCGCAAGGGGTTGAAAGTTGAAAATTCCCACAAATGAAGGTGCTGCATATGAGCAGCGCACGAGCGCAAACACAGGTCTGAGATGACGACTGGGGAAGGGTTGACGGCTTGTCTTTGTGCTAGATGGTCTGGTACTTGGTCCCCGGAAAGCGACCGCTTGCTGAAATAGCGCCATGTTTATGTTTGTAGGTTAGTCACGAGAAGGTGGGGTCGAAGTTGTGAACGAGACTATCTTACTCGGTTCCAGAATCGAAGGGCACTATCACAATGTGCCCTTGCTAGTCCCCTCTTCCGTCAAGAGGCCCGATTTATTGTATACGAGCTACTGTCAATAGTAGGCAGCTCATTATTACGGGTGAACATTGGGGTCTCTGTTGTAGTTAGTTCCTGAATGTCCTTGATAGATTCCTCAACAATTAAGGGACCCAAAGATAATATTGACCGTAGCTCATCTAGGACTTAAGCGAGTCGTGTTTAGGTGTGCTAGGCTTCCAGAGACCAGTTCGACCCTAGACCCTCAATCCAAAACCCTAATCCTTAAACCCTAAACCTATGCTAGGTTTACCCTAAGGGTCCCAGGGCCTGAGTTGTAAAATTCCTTCAGCCCACATGGGTTCCCGTAAAGGTTCTTAGGGGTTTAAGGGTTTTAGGGTTTAGGGTTTAAGAGTTTAGGGATTTAGGGTTTAAGGGTTTAGGGGTTTAGGGTTTAGGGTTTAAGGGTTTAGGGGTTCAGGGTTTAAGGGTTTAGGGGTTTAGGTGCTTGGGGGTTTAGGGTAAAAGGAATTGCGCTCACAATGCCTATGGCTTAGCTACTTGGACCCTTCAGGTTAGAGTCTACGGTATGCTGGGGCATTAGGCTTTAGGTTTAGGGTGTAGGGTATGGCCAGGAAAACCTACACCCCAAGACCTTTTCTTCATGTACAAGCTGATCACTATGCTGCGTGCTCCTTCGTAAAATTAGCGCCCCACAATTTGTGGGCTTCCCACATATGGGGTTATGCAGATTGTTATCCTTCAATTAACACAATTTTACCCGACCCTCTGAACACTCTAAACATGTAAAGCTGCCGTTAGGCCGCAACTCCAAGCAAAGCCTACCCAAAACCCTGAATCAAACAGATGCGTAGCTTGATTGATGGGAGTCCGCAAAGTCAGTTTAGAGTTTAGGGCGTAGGGTTCAGGTTTCAGGGTTTAGGGTTCAGGTTTCAGGTTTCCGCTTAGGGTTTAGGGCCTCTTTTACTTGGGATATGTAAGGGCAAGCGTTCTGTTCTAGATGCCCCTCATAGATACCCCATACGCAGAGATGCCTCGGGAACCTTGTAGAAACCCGCCAAAGCCACTAAGATAGCAACATCCGCATCTCATGCAGGCACGTTCGTTGTGTCAACACCTAAGCAGTAAAGCTTCAATCCGCAACCCCCTAAACCCAACATTGGAGTACTACACTTTAATACTTTGTTGGTTCCTGGGTTCTTATTATAACAACTTACACCTAACAAGTCTTACTTTTTTCTGAGGGTGTACTCCAAACTAGGGTAACACCAAACCCTAAACCTTAGCCTTAGCCGCCTTCTCACAGGACAAGGATACGCATCAGCTCAAGCATCCCAGCGAGCAGCTTGTGCGCCTTCTGCGCCGTGCGCGTGAGCAGAAAGTGGACCGAGGGTTTGGGGTTCACAGGGTTTAGGGTTTAGGGTTCGTAGGGTTAGGGGTTTAGGGTTTATAGAGTGTTGGGTTCATAGGGTTCAGGGTTCATAGGGTTTAGGGTTTAGGGTTTATAGGGTTTAGGGTTTAGGGCTTGGGGTTTAGGGTGTAGCGTTTAGGGCTGTTTTAGGATTTGGAGTGACCGTAATTCGGACCCTAAAACTTGCGTAGGACTGCTACAGGTTCCTGATTTTGGGGGTTTAGGGTTTCCCAACATGTTCCTACTTAGAATTCCCCGAGTTTAGGATGAACTAAGGGTTTTGGTCTTAAAGTGTCTTTAAACCCTAAACCCTACCTAAACCCCAAAAGTATGTAACATAAGAGCGCTAAACCCATAATAACAGCCCTAAAGGCCATTATTTACATACTCTCAAGGGTTCAGGTAAACACTAAAGGGTACTGTATGTGCTAGACTCTGCATTCTGGACCATGATGTGACGGCGTGCGTCAGCAAAGGCCACGGCAGCTAAGTTGAGGATGATGTGTCATTGCGTTCTTGCTTGGAATTCTACGTGAGCTTTAGTCTGAACTCCATAATTGGGGCTTATACACTGGATTCTATAGGGGAGTATTCCCTAAACCCTAAA